TCAGAAGTCTTAGAGAAACAGCCTCAATTTTGAAGCCAAATTGTTGCTTGTTAGCAAAAGGCAGTATCTGTGTATATGAAAGAGTTTTACATTATGGGAAAGAAAGATAACAGGGGCAAACCCATGTGTTATATTTGCCACTTACTTATGAAAACTTGGTGTCTCTCATGAAGACTTTCAGTAGTGAGAAATTAGGTAAAGTGCATCCCCATTCTTTCATGGTTTTATTTTTAGGGCTTATTTGATCAGTTAATCATTAAGAAAGAATGCAAAGGCTAAAACTAAACGTGAACTTTTCACTTTTATACATACCCCTCTGCCACTGGGGACTACTCGACACAAAAGTTGCCATCTTACCCAAGTAAGAGATTTTTCTACGTTTAGTAGCAAACACCTTACTTTGCAGTTTTCTTTTCCACTTTCAGCCAAATAAGCATTACTTTAAAACTGTATTTTATTTTTTACCAACCTCACTCCTTCATCATTAACCTTTTATACAACAGTGTGAGCCAAATTGCTTGCTTCACTTCTCAGTGGCAAGGAAATCTTCAAACATCCCAGGCAAATGGAAGACTAAGGGATGCAATAACTGAAGACTTAGCCAACCCAACTCTCCTCCCCCATCTTCAGTGCTGCAATTATGATGTTACTGTCCACAATAATTGCTGCCTAGAGACTTTGCAATATTTATCATGGTTTTGTCCTCTGTGCTCCTCCTTTACCACTTGCCACTGTCTGGATTAAAGGAGCAGAAGTCCTCAAGGTACAATTACCTTCAAGTCAACCAGACAGGGTGATGAAGAAATAACGTGACCTACACGTTTTGTCCCTTACAAATATGTACTCCACAGACTGAGCTCATGAATTCCACTTTCCTTGGCTCAAGGCCTGGAAACTTGACTCTTTACCAAATGCCAGGCCTCCCACTGAGGGCAAAATAAACCTCAGTGTACAGGTCAGAGCAGCCTGATTTCCCTGTACTTTGCAAAGCGTTGCTTTAAGGATGTGAGGTTAATGAAGTTGTCTGGGTAGAGGCATCTGAGACCATTTGGTAGGTATATTAGTTCTGAAAGGTTGTAGAGATTTTTTTTGTGTGTGTGGTTTTTGGGTTTGTTGGGTGTTTTGTTTTTTGGTAGTTTTTTTGTTTTTTAACAACTCTAATGGGGTTTATGCAATCTGACAACTGTCCCTCTT